GGAATCTATCAATTAAAGCTTTTGTAAACTGCTTGTTCGAAGTAACAACCTGCACCAAATATTCTTATTGAGACGACAGATAGAAGAGTTAATCTCGTTTCAATGATTATTTGTATGATGCATCAGAAAAAAAATTGTCCAAATCAGCCACAAATCTCTCAAATGCAAAATCGCACATATGACAAGTATAGCTGCGTCCGTTCTCCTTAATTTGCAAGTATTATTCCTTAGAAAGTTGTATGTGACACTAACAGGAGATGAGCACACAGAAACATCCAGGATCGAATGCCAAAAATGGAAATGAAATTGCTCGTAACACGTCTTTGCTGAGCCTTAAAGGAAAAGGATTCCCCCGCGCATGCAATCTTGTCTGTGCCAAAATATTCTTAATTCTTATTCTAAAATCAAACCACTAGAATGATAATATCTTTGTCTGACAGGTGGGTTTGAATGCAAATAGTGTGTTACATATTGTTCTTTACTTCTTAACCCGCATCTATCAAGTGGATGACGGATAAAATCACTTCACACATCGTTTTCAGCTTCAACACTTTACTCCAACATCCAAAAATCGTCTAGTACTAATCATGTTTTAGTCAATGGCTGTTGGTACTTAATTAGTACTAAAAGTTGATTACAGTTCCAGCTTTGATGTCACACTTATATTCTTCCTTTTTAATCTCCATATCAAAGAAACTGGAAAGGGACCACCGCAAGAATATAACTTGAAACAACCGCTAATTTGTGTGTAAGTTTTTCCCTATAAATAGAGTGGCAGTAAAGATGCTATAGTTCATCCCAACTCAACTGCTTCTCTTCTCTATTCTATCCTAGCAGTCCTAGATCCCTGGCCTTCAAGCCTTCACCCTCCTTTGCCGGCCCTTCTTGCCTCATATGGCAAATCCCATATAAGCCCATGAGGCATTGGCGTGACAGTGCAGCTTGCAAATGATCCTAGAAAGATAGAAAGCGCCTGTATATTTTTGCCCTGTTCAGCCATTTGCTTCAAATCAATGACCTTTCAGAGAAGCCCTCATCATGATTGTCGTTTTCAGTGACAAAAAATCAGATTCTAGGAAACCTAGCTATAACTTCTAGATCATAATCGTGGACATCCTGAGATCTGTGTATAAGGAGGAGGCAGTGAGTGGTGAAGCTGTTGACAGAAGATAGAGAGCACAGATGATGATGTGCATGGGGAATTAATACTGCATCTCACTCCTTTGTGCTCTCTAGTCTTCTGTCATCACCCTCGGCCCCTTGACTCCATAATGCATCTAAATCTATATATATAATATACTCTTATAGTACTGATTCGTATAGCTGTTAATATCTACATCTATATTCAGGTCAAAGAAGGTAGAATTTGGGAGACAAGCATGCCTCAACTCCCTTCTATTGTTTCCTCTTAATCCCCTCAGCGTCATATGTAGTTTAGCTGCTCTTGTCAGTACTGGTGAATTGGTGAAATAATTAGCACTTGCTATTTTGGTCGTTTTCTTTCCTTGATCATATATATATATATGCATCAGTTTCTTGTATTCTTGTTACAGCTTCAGTTACCGGTTTAAGTCCTGAATCTGAACTAGACTCTCCACTTTTTTGGCATTTTCTAGTACTGTTACATCATGTTTCTATGAAGGCATGCTAAATACGACCATTTCAACTGAATTTCAATATTTCGCCCCACCTATTTCATTTCTGAATTTTTTTTCTCGGGTAGGAATACAAATGAAAGTCAATTTCATTATTATTGTTACTATTATTGTTAGTATTATTTGTATTTTAAACAAGTGAAACCGACTTTCGGCGCTTCTTCCCTCGTGGAATATGAAACTGCAGCAAATTAAGGTGGCCAAGGTGAGTTGCTGGAATCCCTCTTTGGTTGTTTTATGATCAGATAGGGTTTGTTCTTAAACTTAAACATTGCAATCAAGAAAGGGTTAGCTAGTAATTAGCTGGGAGCTATGTGTATATGCGTTGAAAGGATGCACTATGCAGCTTTCTGAGCTTCATAGTGGGTTACGCCAGCATGTATTCGACCTTAATTATCACAAACCAGAAAATTCTCATCTTCTTGCATGAGATTAAGAATGAACTCAGTAGATGATGACTAAACTACAGTTGTTTGGTTGCCCATGGATGAGATTTGTACTTCATTTGACAAGAGAATTAATCAGTTTGCCCTTCATTAATTGATTCCAATAACCGGATTAATTAGACGATTTCAAAGTTAAACTAATTATCTTAAGACTATCCTTTTTGAGAAAAAATGGAAAGTCGAAAAGAAATAAGGAAATTGCAAATGGATAAGTGGGAAGAGTACATTAAATAATGGGATAATATATCATAAACCTCTCCTGAGGTTTCTCTTAATATTACTTAGCATTTCTAAAATTCTAAAAATATCACTTACCTCCTCCTAGAAATTGCAAAATGAATATATTAATCCTCACTTAATATCTAATTCACATATCAAATAAATAGAGTTAAAAAAATTAAAGAAAAAGAACAAATGTCAATTTCTTCGTTTTCCTTTTTTTCCAACATTCTCTCTTACTTTTTTTTTGGATAACTATGCGATTTTTTATTTATAAATTATAGTAAATTGATTTTTGTTTATCTTTTTCCTTTTGTGATTTTGATAGAGTGGCATATGGTTTCTTTGTTTATTTTGAATTAATTTTTATAATGATTTAGTACAATTTAAAGATTTGGCCCACGAGTTGGGAAGAGGTTGGAAAAAAAAAATAAGATTCATAAGAAATCGATTTTAAACATATAGATTTGACTTGGTGCTAGTGCATGTCTTTACAAATATATTTTTTGTTTTCTAAATTTATATTTTTTTTTCCAAATTATAGCTTTCTAATATGACGGTGCTACTAGAGATTAATTTTTAGGTGGTAATTTTTCTTAAAGTAAATAAAGTGATTTAGGGGTATTTTATTCAGCAAAATGAACAAAAGTGCAGCATTTTTGTTACACAAACAGCAAAAGTAAGGAAGGTAAGTGATTTTTTTAAAACCTTAGGGTTGTTAAGTGATATTAAGAGGAACCTCAGGAGACGTTTATGATATTATCCCCCTAAATAATATAAGGAATATTGCTAGTATTCAGTAAAGCGTTGTAGCAGGGTGTGTAGATTGTTTCCGGTATCTTTGAGTGGTGATTTTACAGAAGCATATGCTGCACACCTGTCTTTGGCGAATATATATATATATATATATATATAACCGTAGAAGTAGAACAAACTTTGAGTGTGCACTTGTGAATTCTAGTAAAATTTAATTGGGTAAAATACCCAAAAATTTCTTGTGATTTGCTAAATGTTCAATTTAACTCTCTCTTATTTAAAAATCTACACTATAACTCCCTGTGGTTTTAACTACATTGAAAATTGGACGGAAAGTATCCAATCTAACGGTTATACGCGAAACGTCAATATTGCCCTTATATAAATGAATTCTTTATGGTTTGTTGAATGTTTAATTTAACTCTCTCTAGTTTGAAAAATTACACTATGACTCCCTACGGTTTCGATTAAATTGAAAATTGAATGGAAACATCTCATGTATAGTAGGGGTAATATTGACATTTCACACACAACCGTTAGATTTGATGCTTTCTATCTAATTTTCAATTTAGTCAAAACCATAGAGAATTATAATGTAGATTTTCAAACCAGAGGAAATTAAATTGAATATTTATCAAATCATAGGGAGTTTTTTGATATCTTACCCAATTTAATTAAGATAGGCAAGTTCCACATCGTAAACGTCCTCATCAACCCAAGTCATGTGAAGTGTGAACTATCGGCCGGCCACGATTCCTGTTGTTGTACCTGCGGGCTTTAACCGTTTAACGTTGCTTGTGCCCTTATTGATAAACTTTTTGTGGCACCCAGATTTAATTTGGGAGCAATTGTGAGCGCATTGTATATATGACTTACACGTATTTACTGAATACCGCATGCAAATGAGTCGTGATAAGAGAAAGAATAAATATACTATAAGGTTTAGGGATGCGAAGTTGTTAAAAATCTTGCCACTAGTTATTCCAATAATACCATGATCTTTCAGTTCTTGCTTTTGAAAAAGAGAGAGAGCATCTAGACAAGTAAAATTGCAAGCTTTAACATTATCTTTACAATAATAAAGCCCGTGTAAAGATAATTTACACCAACTTGGTGTTAACTTAATTTGTACATTTTCAAATTTATCCTTATCTCTATCTATATATCATATATAAAGGGATAGGGAGCCTTTTGGTGTAGATACAAAATTGTCATTTTATGATCTTCTTATATTACCCTTGAAGTATAAAAATTCAGAGAATTAGACATTATGAGTTTAAATTTTTTTTAAATTTTTAATTCATGTTTTTGGCATTTAGATATTACAACTTAAAATAAAAAAGTTTGAAATTTGGAGGAAGTTAGGAAAATAGAAAACAGATATGCAAACTTGATAAAAGGCAAAAAATGAAAAAAAAAAAAAGTGAGTGGATGTGACATTTAATAATTAGTGTTTAGGATTAAGGAAAATCTATTCGTATATATATATATATTTCAATTTAATAGACAAACAAAAAATTGCTAGTTCAATGGTTTAATCCGATTCGCACGATTCGCATGGTTCAAATGATTCTTATCGATTTTTAACTCCAGTCAACCTGAGATATGAATCAGATTGGAACTATGATAGGTTCACGGTCGAACCGGCCGGTTCGATCCGATTTTTGGCATTTCCTCTATGACTTCCATCTGATGTAATGTCATAAAGGACGGTAGATTCACTTTTGTCTAAGAGAGATTGAATGCTGCGATTCGTTGACTAATCCAGTTACGTCATATCTCATTCGTCCGGATGGTCTAGTCCTGTTACGCCATACTATCTCATTCGTCAAATTAAGCGTAGAAACGTACACACACGAATTCATCAATCCTACCACCATTTCAGTAAACAACTCTCAGTCATGGGTAGAACAGAACACGCGTGGTCCCTTCAGGGACATCCGATGAAATTGGAACGATACAGAGAATAGCATGACTCCTGCGCAAGGAAGGATGAACACGCATGAGGTAAGCCAAGGGAGCTGGTCTTGGTCAAAGGAGCTTCCCCTGCCCCGTAGCAACATGTCTAACAGAATCAAGAACAGCAGAGACATGCTGCTGCTGATGGAAAATAACCTGATTTCTAGTCCTCCATAACTGATACAACACAGCAGAAAAAAACCAAAAAGAATTGGATGCCAGTGCTCGTAAAGACATCTCAAATCTGCATCCCAAGACAACCTGCCATTAACAATTGAACATAACAACTGCATCTTCTGCCAAACCATGCTGGATATTGGACAATCAAAGAAAACGTGTGCCATGGATTCATCAGCACCATTACATAAAGCACACTTATCAGACTCTATTCTAACTGCACTCTCCAAGCTTTTAATCTGTCCTTAGGCAGGCAATTTCCTATTACACAATATCCAAACAATAAAGGAATGTCTCGGCACAGCACCCTCACCCCCGCGCCAGCTTCAAACAAGGAACTGTGCTTCCAGCTGTCCTGAGTTCTGACATGGCTGATTGAACCGCAAACTTCATCGGAGCGCTGGCTGGCCAGTACACCTTATCCTTGCTGCTAGGACTGGGATTCTTTCGGATCCTTAATATAACTTGACCAATAATTGAAAGTAAAGAATCTACAGATTCAAGAACTAAGTCACGGTGCCTCAGGAACCTCACAACAACGCATCATGGAGAATTCAGTAGACCAACAATAAATAAAGGAATGAATGAATAAACAAATTCAACTGTAATCTTCTTCTCCGAGGATGTGCCAGTCAAGGGTTCATAAATCACAATTGATTCAGATGAACTAAAATGGAAGCAAGACAAAGACCAAGAGTTCCACTGAGGATTGTGAGACCAAACGTGCCGCCAACGGTGCTTGCAAGCTCAATATACTGGAAAGGCTCTGGTGGTCTTTTGGACTTGTTGCATGGTACTACTTGCGCATAATTCCATCCAAACTTGTCAGTCTGATAACATCTTTCCAGTCTCTCCTTCATCTTAACCTCTGCAATCCTGTTCATCAGAATCCACAGATTTGCATCCACCATACCATGGCTTGATCTCCCTGCTGATAAGATATTAAGCAAACAAAAAAAATTTACTGCAGCACTTTCTTGACTAATTCCCTTTCAATCAGAAGATCATATACAAATGTATGATGGGAAAAATGACAAGCATTTGCAGGTACTCCTGCAACCAAAAATCAGTTCAGGAAAATGATACTCTAAATTTATTACCTTCATCTTCATGTCTGTGGGATCTCACCAGCAGAGATGGACGAGGCCTGCTTTTCCGGTATGGCAGCTTTAGAGCTAAAATAGCTGGAGAGGAAATTAAAGCCATGCAATAGCTTTGGAAACAGATATGTCTCCTTAGTTCTCTAAAGGGGTATGCAGTTGACCTTTATCATCAACTAGTCAGCAAATGATGCGAATCATGGTTGCGTAGGAATATAAGCATAATCAAGAATCAATCTAATTAGTAATTAAGTCGAGCTTAGCTGTATACGTAGTTAGCTTTTGCTTTTCCTGGCTAAAGGAGATTTTGCGAATTGTTGAAAGAGCAGTCCACAGGCGAAAAATGAAGCCGTTGAGTTGTATGCTGTTTGTGTTACTACGTCCTTTTCGCCTGCTGGGATAGTATATTCTTTTAAAATGTATTTAATACCAATTACTTGATCAAGATTCAGGTTACCAAGCACGTAATCAATGGACCATTATTAGCTACATATTATTAATGAATTTTGGAATGCACTGAGTGGGTCTCTTTTTTTTTTTTTTTTGTTTAATCACTAACCATTGGCTGCGTTTGGATTGAGTGTTTTTGCACCTGTTTTTGAAAAACTGTTTTTCACATTCAAATGCTACAGTAATGTGTATTTCAAAAACAACTTCAAAAACACCATATCCAAACAATATATCAAAAACAACTCCAAATATATTTCAATTATGTATATTTAATTTGTATATTTTAATAAGTATATTTCAATTTGTATATTTTAATTATGTATTTTAATATGTATATTTCAATTATGTAATATGTATATTTCAATTATTATATTAATATAAATATATTTATTTCAATTATGTATAATATTATATATATTATATCAATTGAAATAAATATTATATATTTATATAAATACATTTATTTATATATAAATTTATAAATATATTTATTCAATTTTGTTTTATAATATATATTAATATATATTAATATGTATATTTCAATTATGTATATTATACATAAATTATATTAATAATAATGTATATTATATATATTATACATTTCTAATATTATATATTTATACATACATATTATAAATATTTTATTTTATTTATAATATGTTTTTATTTATTTATAATATATTTACATAAATATTATATGTTATATAAATTATATATAATATAATATATAATACATTATACATTTATATAAATGTACATTTATACATAATATATAAATATTTATGTATATTTATAATATACATTTATATTATGTATAATATATAATATAATACATTTATACATTTATATTAATATACATAATAATATTTTTACATTTATACATAATATTAATACATGCATACATTTATATTAATTATATTAATACATTTCTACATAATATTAATATATATTTATAATATATTAATTTATACATTTATATAATATTCATTTATAATTTATACATTTTTAATAATATACACTTATACATTTATATTATGTATTATATATAATATAATACATTTATACATTTATATTAATATACATAATATTAATTTTACATTTATACATAATATCAATACATATATACATTTATATTAATTATATAAATACATTTCTACATAATATTAATATATATTTATAATATATTAATTTATACATTTATAATATTCATTTATAATTTATACATTTATAATAATATACACTTATAATTTATAATATATTTATAATATATTTATAATATTCATTTATAATTTATAATTTATAATAATATACACTTATACATTTATAAATATATTTATATTATGTATTATATATAATATAATACATTTATATATTTTTATATGAATATATAAATATATTTATTTATAAATATCTATAAATGTATTATAAATGCATAAATGCATATTTATATAAAAAAATATAAAAATTAAAATTTATAATTTATACATTTATATAATATTCATTTATAATTTATACATTTATAATAATATACATCTATACATTTATTAATATAAATGTATTATAAATGCATAAATGTATATTTATATAAAAATATAAAAATTATAATATTCTAAAAATACTCAAAAATATGTTTCAAAAATACCTCTAAAAATAATTCAAAAAAATATATAGTAAAAGTTTTTCATATAGTTTTTGAAAAACAACCCCAAAAACAACTAATCCAAACAGATTTGTTTTTCAGATTCAAAATGCTACAGTGGTGTTTTTGCAAAACAAATCCAAAAACAGCTAATCCAAACGGAGTCATTAATATTAAGAAAAAAACCAGCAACTTAACGGGTGTGATCCATTTGGTTGAAATCTAATTCTGACAGATTAAAAATATCTGAAGGATTGAATACACAAGTTCATGAACCGAACTTGACCAGAAGTTTTCGACAAGCTCACCTACTTCAGGACAAATTTGGTCCAAAAGGCAAAATAATCACCGTCTTCCCACAGGTTAACTTTTAGGTCAAACTTGATACAAGCGGGGAGTAAAAAATTTCCCTTGGTGCCGGCTCAACGTCTACGTGATAATTTATAATTGATGCATGGAGGTAGAGCCGTAGAGGTACTGCATTAGATCCTGTAAGGGACTCAAGGGAGAGAGAGGACTCCCTGTATTAGATCCTGTAAGGGCAAACCAAGGTGATATTCAACCTGTATTAATTGCGCTTATTCTTTTTATGCTTAGTTGGTCAGCGCTTAGAGTTCATTAGCGTAAATTACGAAACTTCATGTGAATCCTTTTTTTTTTTTTTTTCTTTTTTTTGGTGGTAAGACGTGTGAATCTATTGCTGGCAGTAATCATAAGCAACCAATGCTACCAAGCGTTAAACTCGATAAGCCAGATTTGACTTCTGAAGGGTTTGTGAATGTCGCAGGAAATAAAGAATTGCAAAGTTTAGAAGGTCTTCGTAATTTTACAATTTGGCCACATGGAGAAATGCATGGATGCATGGTCTTCGTAATTCTGTGTTTTTCTCATACCTGTTCCATACTGGTGGAAATCTGACGGAAAGAAAACTTCTGGTAGTAGTACTACAAATCTGTGTTTTTCTTTAATTTTTGATTCAGGACATGGTGTTTATCCATCCATCATCACATTGAACGGAAATTGATCAGCCTTGATCATCAGCAGCCAAACAATGCCGACTAGCAATTGCTGCCTGAAATAAAGTAATTGCACCAAGTTCCAGAAGCGACTTTATAGTATACCCGCCTTCTAGTGAAAAAACAAAACCAGCAATTCAAATTGCAATACAGACTAGTAGTGGACTCGCGCTTAGAAACGTCGCAAAATGTTGTTTACTCAGCAAATTGGTTTAAAGAATAGATCAAGGCACTTTAAAAAAGAAAAAATAAATAGAGAGAGAGAGAGAGAGAATGAAGAGAGGCAATTAACTAAGACGATGAAAACTTGGGATTAAACCGCGTCCCAGCTGCCCTTGTTCGATTAACATTGTCCTGTCCGGTCTAAGTTTTGACAGATGCTTTGTTTTCTAGTCTACAACTATAATCTTATTAAGGCTTTGAAACATATGCTATAACTTCATCAAGTTCAGTTAGCTAACATTCAAATTACTTTTGGTAGAAGGAGGTATAAAGCAAGCCATGTATCTTAGCAAAAGTACATTCAAGCTCCATATAGAATTTAAAATCGACAATTCATATCCTCATAGAGAGCAAAATTACGAACAACGCTTTCTTCTCGTTCGTTTCATTCGAATTAAATAGGTTGGTCCGAATTCGACTAAAGTCTGTGGAAAATCGAGATGCATGTATCATTCATAT